TGTAATATAACGCGGGATGTTGCCGCGATTGTGTCTACAGTTCTTGACGGATCTAGATGAAATTTGTTACACATATTCTTTGGATAATAACCTTGAATGAGTTCGAAGATGAGCGAAATCCATCGATAAGTTTAGAAATGGCAGCTCTTCAAAATTATCAAAATAGTGAAAATCACGTTTTTGGTGACTTCATTAATGTGTAACTTTTGGTTGAAAAGAGATGGCTAATTTTTGATGAATTCATGTAAAAGCTCATGAAATTGCCTTTAATTTGACATATATAACATTGACATTTTGACCATTTTTAGTTATTTTATCAAAGTTAAGAGTTCAATTGAACCATTTTCAGGCAATGTGTAATACAACCTATCCATGTCAAACGAAAGTTATTGATACAAGACGATAATTCATTCTATGAAATCTACCTTCCATTTCGGGTATGGCCGAATGGCGTCTTTTTTTATATTTACATACTACGACTAAAAGCTTACATCTTCATCATTTAGTAAGCTTTTTAAATTTTTAGCACAGATTTATTGAAAAAATAATTTTCTATTATTTTTTATGATTGTTTAATTTATAAGAATCCTAATTTTTTGTTTTCAGGTGTCCAGGCTCTTGACACTTTGATGAGTTACGATGAAAATGTCGTACGTACATGGAACTGTCTTTTACCTTCAAAGATATAATTTAATTTCTGTTTTAACTCTGATTCATTGATTAATTAATAAAAAAATAAACTAACAAGAGAATATTTATTTTTATTTATTTATAATCTGAGTTGAGGAAAATGTACAGGGGTATCGATCCTGTAGTGCTTTTCCTAACAGGTGTGGTGAGTAGCACATGTTAAAATATAATTGTCCTTGTAACAATACAATTTGTCAGAAAAAAAAAAAACGATAAACATACAATAAGTAGCAACATTATAGCGGAAAGTTGAAAATAAAATTTTCAACTTTCCGCTATAAAAATCAATGATTTAAAAAAATTGGAAAATTATTAGTTTCATCCCGATTTTTTAAAATCGAGTTCTTATTAGATCTCCACATTTTATGGTCCTAAGAAGCTATTCTGACTATTGCTATAAAGATTTCCCTTCCATGAGCGTGTGTGAATCTCTCATACTTGTTGAATGGCTTGATCGATTAAAACACGGTTTGCGACATTTCAAAGAATTTTACCAAACTTAAATTTTTTTTTTAATTTTAATCGATTTAGCCCGATAGATTTTGAAAAGTTTTGAGAGTAAAATTTTCACGATCATATAATTTAATCAGCTTTTAAACTAGAAAAATAACGTCGTTTACTTAAAACCACATCAAAATCGGTTGATTTTTTAGGAAGATATTGTTGTCAAAAAATTTTTTTTGCATAACTTGGATTTTTTTTGTCGGATCATGTTGCAAGTAAGAAGTATTTTTGTGTTTAAGAAACTAGACTAAATGCTGCAAACTGCATCAAAGACGTCTGATTTGTTGGAAGTTATCGCAATTCAAAATTTGAACAGTGTATTTCTAGCAACTCTATCAGATTTTAGAACTCGAAAATGTATACAAGTTGTAGTATTGAGAGTTCAGGATAGTGTAGAAAATTTTTCAAGCGGTTTGAGATGGATTATAGTGGAAACTTCCAGAGATGGCCTGTTTTACTCCTTTCTAGTCCAATTCGCGATATCTAGGGCATAATAGACCACTAAAAAATATACGTCAAAAAATAATATTTTTTTTTTCGAATTACTTTTAGGCTAATATATCTCATTTGAAATGAAATAGATCACCAAAACAATTTTTTTTTATAAAATTTAAAAACTTAAAATAAAAAAAAAATTTATGCATTATCTTAAAAATAAAAAAAAACTTTTTTTGGGTTAAAAAAAATCGAAATTGAAAAATTCATAAAATTTTATTTTCATTTAACCTCCGTTGATCGTGTTTTAATTTTATTTTTCTTTTTTTAAGTTTTTTTCACATTAAATTAATTTACATATTTTGATGAAAAAATTCAACAAAAATATGACTATCCCATTTCAAAACACAGTAACTACAAAAATTTTTAACTCAGCTATTTTTCGGTATTGTTACATCCTCTATAACTTCAGGTAAGGTAAAAGCCCTAATAGATGATCATGTACCATTATATGATCACTCCATGTATTTGTATATCTATATTCACAAATATAGGTATACAAATACACACAATATTTTTTTTTTTTTCAATTTTTTGGGGTATCGGGATTTTGGGTCGGTGTTGTTACATTCTCTTCCAACGGTAATTTCAAATTCAAATTTATATGAACTACAATAATTATTAACCGCAAATGAAAAATATTTATAATTAAGTCTGCTTTTTTAGTATATGGGAAGGAGGGTAATGAGGGGAGAAACGGTTTATATCAGCTATGATATTTTTGTTAAAATTGAAGTAAATAAACAAATTAAAATAAAAAAAAATTTACGACAAAAAAAGATTTTTGTTTTCTCCATTTTTAAGAAATCAGCCATTGTAGCCTAGAAAAAAAATTTGAGCTTGAAAATTGAAAATAAGCTCAAATTTAGCACTTACAACATGTATTCAAACTATTGTGAGATGAAATTGTAATAACATTATTTTTTAATAAATTCAGATCTGGATTATCATACAAAAATTTGCTTGCTTGTGGGGTTTTCTGTATTGATCAATAATAATATACTTTTAAAAAAATTAAGATGTTTTTGTAAGTACGTTTGAAGAGACCGACGCCCGAAGTCGTGATACGTTACTTAGAGCTCCAAAAAAAATAATGTAATTAAATTTATTCATTCAGAATTGAAATCAATGAATTTGTGATTAAGTGTTTTCATTCTATGAATTAAATGTCTATCGCTTACACGAAAAAAATAATAAATTTTTCTTATAAACTGATGTTTATCAAAAATAAAAGGCGTTTAGCATGAGATAAAATATTTACAATTACATAAAATTAATCGAATCCTGTAGAATGACCCATATAAGAACGATGATCTACGAAACCATAAAAATAGGCTTTTTTTATTACTAAACAGCTTTTAAAATGATCAAAAAAAAGAACATTAATTTATGCCACTCGATGGACAAAACAGCTAGTTCAAAAATAAATTCCTAAAATATTATAATTGATGTATTTGATAAGTATACAAGATTAGTGAATAAATATTTTCATTCATTTTTGACGCCAAACTATCAATACCATTGTTATTCAATTAAACACTTGTATAATCAAGCGTTAAAAGCGAGTTATTTAACCACTAGGTACATATTATTATGTTCGTTTCCAATATTTTTTTTTTTATTTTAATCTTTTTCTATTAGCAATTTAAGCACCTTTGAATTCATAAAAATGAATAAAATCTATTGATTTAAAATGATAAATTTTATATTGCGCTGAAAAATATTAATTTTAACAACTTATTTGTATGTTAATCTTATTACTAAATCTTGAGCAATTCTATTGTCCAGTTTGCCGGTGTGAATACTGGCGAAAAGCTTCACAATTTTATTATCTTAAGTCTGATTAAAAGGACTAGGAATTTGCTAATATTTTAATAAAAAAAATTCAAAAAAGTTTGAAGTTTTAGATTTTGGTCATTTTATCGATCACTGTTGTTTGATACGTAAAACATGTAATAAAAGTATAGTCCTATCGTAATAAATCTATATTTTGATATGATTGTATAATTGTTGTTCCTATTAAAGTTAATTTTAAGTCAGAGTTATGTCAGAAAGAGTAAAAATATATGGAAGTGTGCTGATAGTTCCACACCACCAATTGATAAGAGCATGTTGATATTCTACTGATAGTAGATTTATTACAATTCTTTATCAGGCCCACCATTCACAGATGTTCCCTGTATTAATTAGTATATTTTTCATTTCCAAATTTGTGTGGATTAAATATTGTGATTCTCTTATTTATAATTGATTACTATTAGTGAATAATATTTTTTATATCAATTATATAAGACATTTTATTGATATGTAGAGTAAGTCAACACATACAATATACCTATTAGAACACAGCTTTAGGGTGCGATTGCACCTACAATAACCGAAATATTTGAATAGATGTTATATTATTATAACGATTCTTTATGAATCTGAATGAAACTTGATAAGCTTCAATTTTCAATGAGATATTTTGAAAAAATTAACCATTTTGGTCCGGAAGATTAAAAAAAATTTTTTTAATTAAATTTTCCGAAAAATTTTTTAGGGAATAACTTTTTAACTACTGAACCAACGAATTCTAGATTTAATCAGTTCTTTTGTTTGGGAGATAATGTAGTTGAAACATTTCGCAAAAACTGTTCCTTCATAATAACTTCTAAATGTTTTGTCACATCGATTTGAGGGAACAAACCGCTTCATTGTTCGCAAAAAACTCATGGAATGTCATAAGTCGCATTAAAATCAGCTCACTTATTCGAAAGATTTAGATTTTAGATTTAGATTTATTTAATTATGCCAAAGCCTAGGCCTGATGGCAAGTTATACAATATACATACATGTTGATTATAAATGTACCAGGGTATGACAATTTCATAAATTTATGATGTATTAGAGTAGAAAAAATATAATATAATATGAAAAATAGATAATAAATTGACAATGTAGTTTTTTGGAGTAAACAAAAGAAAATACATTAACAATATTTGATTGCATAAAAATATTGATTTAACTGATAAAGAAGTTTAGCTAGATATCAAGATTAAATAAATAATCGAATATTTTGTTTTTAAAAACTTCTAAACTTGAAGAGTTTATTATATCCACTGGTAATTCCTCCCATAGACGTATTGCTGTTACAACAAACGAAAGTTCATCGAGCGTCGAAGAAAAATTCGGTACTCTGAAAGAAACATAATTCTTCTTGGTTGCAAATCTCTCTGAACGTCGAATAGTCAGATCTTCAATAAATAATTCTCGTAAATAGCAGAGCTTACCAATATTTGATAACTTATAGAAAAAGCAAGAAGTGTAATAAATACGTTGACTCTTCACAGAGAGCCAACCTAATTCACGTCTATACGGAGTGATATGTTCATCTCGTTTAGATCATAAATGAAACGAATAAACGAATTTACAGCACGTTAAAGTTGACTATCATTATCATAAGTAGAAAGAGATCGTAATTCAAAAATTATTTACTCAACAATGATTTATCAATTTTTTCTTCGAGCTTAAAAAGGTCAATTACTTGTGGGTATGAATGTTTTCTAACATTATGAACTCGAAAACAGCGGAAAATTACAAGAATGATTTGCAGGGTTAATTTTATTTTATGAAATAGTTATTATGAATCTTGACCCATCCAAAAATTCAATTAAGTCAAATGAGCACATTACAATAGAAGTAAAACATTAACATATAAGTGTTAAGAAATAAAAATAATGAGTTTCATTGTATTTTTTTCTTGTTGACACAGATGTATCATTAATTCAAAAGTTATTTACGACAAAAAATATTTCTTTTATGCGTAACAGTGTAATATTATCTTATTATAACTACAAGCTACAAATTTTTGAGTCTGACAATAATATTGTTATCAATGTAAAAATGATTTCAAGTGACTTGAATTTTTTATCTTTTATCTTAGTCATTGTGTTATTCTTACACAGATAATTTATTACTATCAAAAAAGAATTTCCATGTTATGTCAAAAATATGTTGTTTGTTTTTTAATTTTAATTATAGAAACAATACTACACAGTCAGTATATTATTTTATTAGTATTACAAAAACGCAAATTTATAATTACAACCTTGTTTTTTAACTTTTTATTGGGTAGCACAAAAAGAGAGAAGAAAAGAGGAAAAGAAAATAATTTCTGTAAACAAATAGACCATTTTAGATTTTTTTTTTACGTTATTTTCTTCTTCATACTATTTTACATCCTACAAAGTTCTGTTTTTGTTTATTTTTTTATTATTAATAATATCTTCATCAATAAATCTAACTGAAATTGCTGTAGCTCAACAGCACTCTCGTGCGCAGTTTTTCAGTAACGCGTGAATGAAAACTGGTGACTGCTTGCTTTCTCCAGTCAGAAATGAGTGTCACCGATTCAAAAATGATTGATATGCACAACATGATGTACTTTTCAGTTATTTCGAAGACAAACGTATTGTGCCTGTATTGATGAAAAATTAGTTTGACATGCTTTTAAGAAGTGCCGAGACATCATAACCAGGACAAAATAACCGAATGACAAAATCTGGTTATTTTGTTACAGCGCCCTTTTAAGAAACATAAGAGAGTCACGCCATAGCAGTTTCTCAAATTCGACTTCATAGTTTAATTTAAAGTCATATGCGGTGCAACTATTATTCTAGAGCTGCTCAAGAACAATAATTTATTTCATCGTGTCTTCGACAAACAACCACTGTCACAAGTCAAAATCAATATTACACATCATCACCTATAGCAAGCTTCAAAAAACCTAACAGAAAATTTGAACATAATCGAATTGTCTTGATTTCATTAGTCCCATAACATTGTGTCAACTCCTACCATTAGAAAAAATGATTTCAAATCTTTTTTTTTATCATTCGAGTCATTCTTCTCAAGTCGCTTTGACTGGAGTTGATTTTGTACCGTTATATTTGGACTGGAGCTGTTATGGCTCCACAAACTACTGGAGTAGTCGAACAACTGCATCAGTAATTTAATTTGATTTCGCTGTGTTATAACAAAGCTTAATACAAAATTTTATCAGTTGTAATACTGAACTGTAAATTGCATAAAAAGGCAATTTGGTGATGACTCCAGAATTTAACTGGTTTAAGTCAGCCTAAGAGAATTAGCTTGCCTATTAAGTTAATTACTCCTTCAATTGAAATAAATCTTGATTATGTAATTAATGCCTTAAAAATCTCGACTACCAAAAATTATGCACCGATTGTAACTCAATATTATAAATACCTAATTGATATTTAAAATTTAGTAAGGCATAAAATTATTGATTTATTGTAAATTTAATTTTAGAGGTTGCTACAGAGCGGTTGATAATTTAGAATAAGCCACGTAAACAACTGCACGATTTTTTGTGGTTTATTAAAATCAATCAAATGAAATTTTTATCAAATTTCTCATGATATTATATATTTCTATCGTCTGTAAATAACGATACAATTGTTTATGCGTAAGTAAATTTATTATACAGTAATTTTTTATGTAAAAATTGAAAAAATAAAAAATTAACTTTGTTTTTTTCCGTAGCGTATATTGTTACATAACAAATGTTGATAGTATAACTTATTATTCGCCAAAAATTCAGTAGAATCCAATCTAAATAAAATAAAAAAAGCGATTAAAAATTTTCCGGTTTGAATGTTCTTGATACAATGCGTATTGTATCAATTTTTTATTACATCAATACAAATTTCATTCGTTTTCATTAAATTAAATCTAAAAGCATAAATGTCAATTAATTTTTTTTTTAATATCTCATAAATATTTAATATTATGACAATGAAACAGTTTTAACTAAATGATCTGATGATTAAGTTCAAATAAAAAGATGCATTTGTTAATTTATTAAACCACACATCACATTATTGAATCATTTTACCTTATACATTTAAATTATTTCATTTTTAATGAAACATATTTAATTGATATTTATGGGTAAGAATTAAAATTTGGCAAGACAATATTATTTATATTACTAGTCAAAAATGTATACAACAGTTTTTTTTTTTTTTTTAGATGTAAAAGTAAGAAAATATCATGCTTATATTGTGACAGTTATAACAATTTTTTTTTTATTCTTTTTGCGATTTTCTGCTTTTTTCTTCAGGTTTACATTTTTCGATGAATTTAAGTTTTTGTTACAATCTTTTAAATATAGGGTATATTAATTTATTGAGACGATCTATCAAAGGACGGAAAGTAATAAAATAGATCAATTATTAAATATATTAAAATTAAATAAATATACCTTATATATTGTAATGAGATCACTTCTAAACTAATTCACCATTCAATTTCTCATTATATGTTTTAACGATTCTTCTTTATCACTCACAAAATTTTTCTCATGACTTTTACAAATTTAAGAAAAACCTATTTGTCTAATAAAATTTTATTTCTATTAGATAAAAAGCCTTTTTTTTACACAACTAGCATTTTTTTGTAGTATTATTAATTACTTTTTAATAAAAATATAATGTTCACAAATGAAATCAATATAACACAGGACTAGAATATACAAAAATTAAATTACTCCCATTCGCGAGATAAAAAAACACTTGCGATTTAAAATGTGATCCACAACATAAAAATTATCGTCTATCAATGTTTTTAAATTATGGATAAAATGAAACTGATAACTTCACTGCTGGTAACCATTAACATGGATGTGAGTTTCCTGACTGCCTATGCTGTAACCAGTAATACTATCAGGACTTTGTAGAGAGGCCGCGTAAAGTGGATTGACAGGCGTTGCATGGGTGTCAAACTGTGTTGAATCATATACACTATGATTCTAAAAAACAAAGAATATCATGTTTTAAATTCCTTAAATATGAATTTCGGTTAAAAAAAAATTACGTTTGTATTGAATAATTGTTCTGATTCTGTTTAAAATTTTTATTCGATTAAATCAAGCATTTATGACTTTAGTAACAATTTTTTGCAATTAAATGATCTGAGTGTGTACTTCACAAACAATAAAGAATTAACATCCATAAAATTATTAGAACTGTAACAATATGAAACATTCAAGAGTCTACACTTACAAAAAAATGAACTTATTTCAAAAACAAAACTTTGGACTAAGAAAATTACTTATGATTTTTTCATTTTTTTATCAGTGTATGAGAAAATAATATACCTGATAAATATAGTCACTGTCAGTTTTAAGTGATGAAAAAGGTAATGATACAGTATCATCTTCCATTGCGTCATCCACTTGAGCTTTATATGAAAACATTATAGATGGCTGTGAAACACTAAAAACAAAAAAATTATTTGTCTGAACAATATGAATACGAAATCATATTTATTAAAATGAGTTATTTTGTATGCCTTGCAACACTTCGCATAGAAGATTGCGATCTGCTCTTGTTGAATTATTATACTTTATAATTACATAAATTTTAATCAGTTTATATTTTAATGTACCGATCCATTTTATTGATTTAAAAAACTTAATCTATATTCCTTAATTATTTAAGATGTTAGTGATAAACATGTTGAAAGTTCAATATATTGCGCTAAGTGGTGTTATGGAACTACCTGAAACTTCTTTCTTCATAGAGAGTCGGTGTCATTTTTACTCAGTTGTTTTTGTCAAAGCTTCAATTTTATTTAGTAATAGTAGCGTAGTAGATTGAAATGTACCGAAAAAATACAGCATTTTCCTTTTACATCTAATATGTGGAGCATTTTATGCTAAATAAACAACTTGTGTGGGTGACCTCTTTTGATTTCATTTAAAATTTTAAACGTTTTGAAAACTGATGAAAAACACTTCTATAATTTTCTTGACCACCCGTTTTCGACATTTCAAATTATTTCGTATTTTTCAGACTTTCAGTTTTTACATACTTTTTTATGAAAAGAATATGATTTTTAAGTAAAATTATCAGCGTGACTAAGTGCTTTTTTGTAATTTTGAATGGTTTTTCTACTAAATGTTATAAACAGTTATTGTCTCTTTACTTAGAGTCAACCGTTGATAAATTCAACGCTTTATCAACATACTCTAAGTTACTTTAACAGTGAAAAAATTCAGCTTTTTCGAAGATTTATGAATATTTGGTTAAAATTACTACATCTTAAAACGGCCAAAATTAATTAGTTGTTCTATTAACTATTCATTTGGACCATTTAGTTACTCTTTAAAAGTTCAAATTGATTCCTCAGTGATTGTGGTTTTTTAGTTAATTTGCATACGTGATTCAAATAAAATCGATAATTATAACTTCATACGTATCACTGACTTAATGTATACATTTCAGAATTGAATAGCAAAAATTTTCTAGGCAGTTATTTAGTACACTTTTAACTTACTCTTATCTCGCTTTGATATATCATAAATCTAGTTATGTGCATACTGTTAATCTGGTTTATAGTTTTGCAGATTCTCAACGGTTAACGCAGTTCTTACAAAATCAACCTTGCTTTTTTTATGATGATATATCTTAAGCCGAATCAGTTCTGGAATATTGAATTGTGGCCTTCGAGAGTATTACCTGATTCAAAAAGAGTTGTGTGTTATTTTTACAAAATAAAATGTATGAGATACGCTCTTAAATCTTTTCTGTTTTTGTTATGTAAAGTTCCAATGCATCGAAAAAAAAACTGTTTTAAAACCCGGACGATAGAATATTCTGATTATCATGATATGATTTTAGCTACCTAAAAGTTAGTTAAATTAAGAAAACGTATACTAACAGCTATTCAGATCGCTATCGTAACGTAACTAGCTTATCGATACTTGAGATGGTTCTCATCATAGTTGTTCTTCTTCAGTGTATAAGAAAACTATTAAATTAAAGTTTTGATTCAACAGTAAATTTGTGTAGTAAATAAAAAAATCAAAATCCATAGATTTTTCTGTATCTGTATATCGAAGTGATTACATGTAAGTAGCTTATCTATTAAAAATAATGACGACACCTAAACTAGTCATTTAAATCAACTAATAATTAAATCAATACTATTAAATTTCTACGGCCTTTAAGGAACGTCAGTTCTAGGGCCGAATTTCTTCAATAAATAAATAAATAAATAAAAATAATTTATTGATTTGCCGGATTGGCATCCTAAAATAAAAAACAACATGAATCTTAACAATAATCACATACATTGAATCTTCTCTTGACTGGGTTAATTACCCGCTTATGAGTAAATAAATAAATAAATAAATAAATAAATAGGCTTTAGGCGCCAGTTCATCAGTATGAGTGATATTATGATATATGATTTAGAGTATTGGTAAAATAAAAATATATGACAACTGCACAACTTTGAGTGATAAAATAATTAATTATAGTTATGTCTATATCATATAATTATCCGTTTAACCGAAGACAGCGGTCAACGCCGCTATTACGTAATTTGGAAGATCTTCGTATAATTATGATTACGCTTAATAACCTCTGCCCGCGTGTTATCAACGTGAACTCAAGATCACAAATTTTCAGTATTAATTTTTACTCAATAATTATTGTGATCAGAACTTAGAAAGTAGTATACATTTGTATTTATTTAAAAACCGTAACTAAAATTAAAAGTAATAAAATTAATCATATACATGAAAGATTACATCACGTTACATACGCACACATATTTGCATACAGATTACACTTATTTTTAAAAGTACTTGACTCATCGATACTCACAAATGTAACATTCATACACTTTAATTACTCATGTACTGTTTACAAGTTATCTGTGTTAGAATTTCAATGAAAAAGACAATTCTATTCCGAAATTCAGCTGATAATTAATTTAATAAAATAATTATGTAACTTTTATGTTTATTAATAGGATTTAGATGGTTAATGTAGCTCACAATTGTAAATGTTATTATACCAGACATAACAATATTAAAACTCTGTAAGAATTAAATCGTATAGTATATGAAACTTTATTGACGCCTACTTCAAACTAACCTGCCTTATACTACTACAAATATGTTATTATACGCTTCACTTTTGTTTTTACTACATATGTTATAAAATTTATCTTCTGCATTAAATAATATGATTAAATGAATAACGATATACACCAATGCTTGTAATATGACTGTTTTGTTGGATACGTTTTCTAACGGAATCCTAATTACTAAATTTTTCTCCTTATTTATCATTTTTCTACACTTATTAACTTGCAATACATCATTAGCTGCTGATTTGAAACGAGACAGTTATCTTGAATACTTTTTGAAGACTAAATTGGTTTTTTTTTTTTATATTTTTTATTTATCGCATAGCTCCTTAGAACCCGAATAAATCTTATCTCTTAGACAATCATTTCCAAATTGTCGCTGATATTGAAGAACACTGTCTTTAAGTTAAGTACTTTCGGTTGGAGCATTACTATTCAAAATTTAATAAAATTTCATACAATACTATTTTATGATAGTCAATCAATCAATCAATCTCTCTCTCCAATACGACGTTCAGTAGCTAAGTAGCTGCAGTATCGACAATAGTACTTCGAAATTAGGCGCCAAATTAATGTAATATCAATTATAATAAAGTAGTAGATGTTAGTTATGAATATTGTTGTAGGTGATGATGATTATAATGATAATGATGAAGATGATTTCTTCACTTGACACCTGATTGTTTTTTTTAAACAATATTATGCAATTTAAAAACATCCCGTATTTAATAAGCACTACAGAACACTTTTTAACTTCCCGCTAAGAAAATTGAAAACTCTCCACTAAATTGATTTCGGTCCGATTTTCGAAAGTCGAGTTTTCATCGGATCTCCATGTTTTGAGGTCCCAGTATGGAGGGTAGAGGTACCTCTACCCTCCATAGGTCCCAGGAAGTCATTCTGACTATTCCCGCCGAGGCGTCCGACCGCGTGCGCGCGCCCGTGTGTGTGTGTGTGTGTGTGTGTGTGTGTGTGTGTGTGTGTGTGTGTGTGTGTGTAAATAAATTTTTGTCGTACGGTTTCTTAAAAAAGAATCAACCGATTAAATTCTACGACACGTCATTCGAAAGGGTTTATCAAAATTTAGATCTGATTAAATTTGAGAGTTAATCCATCGAACCGTTCCGAATAAATAAAAAAAAAAAAATTTGAATTTTTATGTTTTTTAAAAATAACTAAAGCGTGCGGAAAAATCATAATAAAACCATGTATACATTTTTTGTGTTTAAAAAATTACGTCGAATGCATTTTCGAAAATGAAAATCGAACGACGCATTCTAAAGTTATTGTTGTTTAAAAATTAACAAAATTGTTTTTCGGTATTTTTTTAAGATATCTTCGAAATTTCTCGACCAATCAAAATAAACCTGTACGTTTTCTTTTTGTGCTTTGAAAACTGCGCCGAATGCTTTTTTAAAAATAAAAATCGAACTACGCATTCAAAAGTTATAGTTATTTAAAAATTCACAAAATTGTGTTTTTCAGTATTTTTTTAAAATATCTTCGAGATTTTTCAACCAATCAATATAAACATATACATTTTCTCCTTGTGCTTAAAAAACTGCGTCGAATGCTTTTTTAAAAAAGAAAATCGAACGACGCATTCAAAGATATAGCAGTGTAATTAATACATTTTGAGCTAAAAGAGCTCAAAATGTGAAAAACGGAGCTTTGAGCTTGAACAGCTCAAATATTAACCATAAAATACAATTTAAGGTGCTTCAAATTCAAACTTAACGGGAAGTTGTAGTGTTGGCTTGCGCGGTCAACCGATTTCCAGATTTTTTTAAATTATTTGATCTAAGCACAAAAATACTAACACAATTTATTGAGTATGTAACGTATTTATGCATTCTGACAGCACCTACAAAAAAAAGAGTTCAACATTTTTGGACCGTTAACGTATACATAATACATATAATATTTGTTCATAATGTTCGAATTAGAGCTTTCTTTGGAGTTTTAAGCTTCGAATCTTTTTTTTCGAAGTGAAGGTATCATTTGATTTTTTTCAAAAATTTTTTTCCACAAACTACTAAAATTTTTTTCTAAACACTAACAAAATCTTTCATTTCTTTACGTACTATCTTAAAAAATTTTCATATGTGGCTATCACTTACTAGAATAGTCTTCAGAGAAAATGTTTTTGACTTAATAATGTGCAAAGCAGGCTTTTTTGGCTGTATACTTTTTTCTATTAAAACGTTTAGTTGAATTTTTGTATAAAGTTTATTTAAATAAATTTGTATTATACTTATATTATACTTGAATTTTATATGTTTATACATACCCGAAAAATTCAGATAAGAAAGTATGATAAACCAATGGAGTAAACAGTGTAAGATACATCACAGCTGTTACATCAACCACACATAATCCGGCGAGATCTTGTGAGTAATTCAATAAACCTGCTCCTATTGACTGGACCAAATTTAAAGTTGTCAATATGCCAACATAAACGTAAAAACTTTTACGTGCTAAAATAATAAATATTATATTTTAGACGACATTAAATTATTCAATAATACAAATACATTAATTTTTGTAACAAGTACTCACAGAATATTTTGTAATAAATTTGCAAATGGTACTAAAAAGTATAATATGAATTGCAAGTAATAAAAAAATAACAATTCATTTAAGATAGCGACGTTACATAAATTGACAGTATACTTCAAGAGGTTTTTATGATTTTTAATTTATGATCTCGTCTATAATAATCAACATCTCTAACTCTACGTACTTGATATGTTATGGTTTATAATATAATTTCTTATGAGTTTCTAAGATAGATAGGGGTGTTTTCAAAAATTGCAACAAGCTTTACTGGTAAATTTTTTTTTGCTTCCGTTGAACTATCAACAAAAGCGTCACTAATAAATTTGCTAGCGCACTTGGTATAAAACTATCAAATATATTTACGCATTTAAGAAATTTAACACAGAAAAATAAAATTTCGGCTTTCGACTAATACATTGAGCGAAAAGATTAAAAGCGAACATAAATATATATTTCAAGTATAAAATCTTCTGTATAAACCTACGAATACTATAAATTACATGGGCTTTATGAAGCTACTGTTATTTCTAAGCATATGTAATTATAGATCGAAAGCGATACTGAATTGAGTTATTGCTAGTAAGAAACGTGTGAAGATTTTGAACAATAACTTTTCACAGATTCTTAATAATGTAAATAGATATAATTCAAACTGTATATCTACGTTGATTTCTAAGTAAGATCAATTAATTATTGGGCGTTGAACTTCTCCGGATAAATGAATTTTTCAAGCATGAAATAGTACAGGTTATTTTAAGCCGTGCAATAATGAAGTAAACTATTTCTGGATTCCACGGCTAATTTGGGTAACTTAAATATACAAAAAATAACATTACTTTTCTGAATGCAAATAAGTATTGTTTATTTAGACATCTCAACAATCAATTAAATACGAATAATTTTTTAATTCGAATTATTCACATAGTCTGAGTTGATGTCTAGTTTTTTTTTTTTTATTTTTTTTACAAATACAAGTGGCTCATTTTAGATACAATATAAAAATAAAAAGGAGTAGACTGACAGAATAATACAACGTTCAAAAATACAATCAACATACTATATTAATTGAAGTTATATCTCGTTAAATATTCTTTGAGAGTTTGTTTCAAAAAATTGTTGCATGAATTTAGAATAAGTATAAGACTATCTTGTGATTGATTTTTTCACCTCCAGTTCGTATTTCAATGTTAATGCTCGCATCTTATACTCATTCATATAGTGAATGTGTATAAAATAATATTAAATGTATGAATTATAAATTTATAAATTCTTACTTGGTAGGTTTAATTTATCCCGCAATCTTGTCCACGGAAGTAACAATATAAAGAAATATATTAAAGTGAATACAAGACTACTGCAAAACCAAAACATCATGCCACCATGACCAAATACATAAAAGTCCCGGCTGGGAATATGAAATGTATCGTCTGGTAAAACTAACTCTAGAGTTCCTTGAGTTATTGTGAAAGTTAAAGCTATAAGAGACGTAGCAAATAAAACTCTTCTTATACTTGAACGGCTATCAAGGTGGCCTAGCAAAATAAAATAATATTTAAAATTATTTACAGCTCAAGTTTATGAATCATTTTTTATGAAAAATGGAAAAAAATTGATGGATGAAGTTAGAATTCGAAGCGCATAAGTGTTAAAAAATTATTATTAGCCGAAACCAGTTTTGAATTCAACAAATGTTGCTCATTCGAAAAAAAAACATTCTAAAACAAAATTTTTCATCGTTTATACCCTTTTCACTCTAATTATTTCATAGATAAATTAAGGTGCTTCGAGAGAATGAAGTTTTCTTCCCATCATCTCAAAAGTTCCTACGAGCTCGATAAAATTTAATTTTTTCATATAAATAATATGTAAAATTGTTTTTTTCTTTCGAATACTAATAAATTTTATTTTTTTGAATTTTAAAATACACAATGGTGAAGAAAATTGAACTCTTAAAAAAAAAAAAAAAAAACTCGATACAAAGAAAATTTTCAAAAAGGTGCATCTTTATTTAAATATATGATTTGATTTTATTTTATTGTTAAATTTGAAAAATGGGTAAAAGCTGAAAATGCTGCACTCAGTTTAACGCATTAGCGCATCACTTACCATACAAGTTACGGAAGTTTGAAAAATAATGCGAATAGTAAAATGTTAAATCACCTTTAGTTCAAAATTTTATTTGAAATATGAAGTGATTTATAGTTCAAAAAAAAAAAAAAAAAACTAATGGGGAAAAAAAAAAACAACAACAATTAAATAAACTGCTGTTCAACATACCAAATGCTAATCCGAAGATGACGACACTCATTTCAGTTGATAACAAGAAAAATCTTACAGTAACCCATAATATTTTATCAGCTTTTCCACCAATATTAGCAGCAGCATTTACTGTCATTGATACAACGCATCTTATCACTGATATTACTACATTACAAATTACCAGTCCATAAAATGCTAAAAAAATTGGGCTGCTAGTGGCTCTCAATTTTAGTCGAGCACGATTAAATCTTATTGCTATAAATAATAATAGTAGTAAGTTTGGTACTAATATCACTGCGTCCCATATTCTCACTCTGAAATCATAAATTTATAATAAATATACAATTTACAAATTAAAAGAATATAATTTTTTATGACGATTAAAATAGCAAACATTGAATCGTTTTTAAATAAAAAATAAACGATTTAAATGTAAATAGGAGAGTCATTTTCGAAACCTTCATGTGCATATTTTTAATAATTTTTTTCAATGATAGCTTATTTGTTAATAAAAGTAAATTGTTCAACCTTTATTAGAGATAACGTATTCCGAAGAATGAGCCTAAGGTTTATTGCAAAAGAAATATCCATAGATTATTTAAATATATCCTTTTCAGTGCTACTAATTATTCGAGTCAAATGGAAGCTAATCCTTCGAGATACTTTTTTCTGAACCAAAGAAACGTCTGCTATTTTTTTTACCATAGTTTTTATAAATTGTACTTATATGTTAATGACCTTGAATTCTGAATTTCCTTATATAAAACTAGCTTGCAAAAATGTTCATTGTCAACTATAGTCGAACTAACATTTGGATCCACAGTAGTAACTAAATCCAATGGTTTTCTCCAACCTTCGGATACTGTTTGTTCACCACCTCCATACATCGCTCTACTTTTTTATTCATTCACAGATCTACATAACACTTCTTATGTTACTGAAATATATTTATGTAAATTAATTATGCATACTAAATTGACTACTTTTAACCATAACTCTTTTTTATTTGTCTACAATCTCTATGATTCATATACTGTAATATTTTACTAAAATCTTATGTATTTTTTATAATACTGAAATTAACAGACACCTGACTATCTTTAGGATTATTATAATAAATTAATTAATGTTAAGAAAATAAGAAAAAATTTTCACGTATAAAAATAAGAAAAAGCGCTGTTTATTGGTTGCAATTTTCACAAATTCGCTCTTATTATTAGTTTATTTTTTAAACAAAACCAAAAAATGGTTAGGTGTCTGTTGACTGAGTGTCATATTTATTTTTATTTTCAAACTGCTCTTACAGAAAATTAAATATATAAAACTATATCTCATATTTAAATTTTGATCAATTTAATTAAAATTATTAATTTAAAGAAAAGTATATTAGGTTTGTTTCGAAAAATTTATAACTGCTTTTCAAATTTGTACAAATTAAACTAAATTTACATGAACGTTTTCAAAAGGATAATACACATATGAAAATTTTAACCTATGAAAAAAGAGTATTGGTTAAATTTAAGCAGTTAGCATGTAATTTTTTATATAGGTGAATATAATTCAAAAAAATAGCCCCAATTAGTAAATTATTGTTAATCATAATAGATTTATCGATTCAATAATAGCATAATTTCAAGGCTGTCAAAGCTTTTAAATGCAATAAGGAATCATGATTAATGATCGTGTTAATTAAAGTTCACTAAAAATTGGTGAATAGTTAAAAATATTGAGCAACATTGATAGCTGAAAAATATGAAGAAAACTATGAAATTAGTATTAATTTATATCGTTTAATAGCTAAGAAAAATAAGTATTGTATTGACTTAATGATCTTTAACAATAATTTACGAACTTACATTATTTATTTTTTATGACTATATCTCCTTTAATGACGTTTTTTCTTCTTGAATAAAATTTCATTTCAATTAAACTTATTAAACGATTTTTTCACTTCGTCATTTTTTTTTTTAATTTTATACTGATAAATTTTTATTTTTGACATTATTGTGATCGATTACTTGATTATTTTATTTTTCATTTCCAACTTTTCAAATAATTCCACAAAAAAAAACTAAATACACTGTACTTTATGATTAATCCAATATGCAATCCGTTCAGTTTCATACCCAGCTTATTTGTTTAACTATGCGAAAATTTGAATGATTATTGAAAAAAATTAGTTAATTTGTTATCTTTAATGCTAAACTACAACAAAATATTTAATGTTAAAATAGTATACAAGTATACTCTGTTAAATTACAACCAAGAACAAACAAAATGATTCTTTGGTTTTTTGTTGGACATTTGATTATTTTTTTTTTTTTTACTTTTAACCACGAAATATGGAGGACTATATAAACAGTAGATTCCACAAGTTCAAGTGACTCCCTAATTCGCTGAAATGCCTGAAGGTGTCTCATGCTGTTTTCCTAGGGTATGTTCCGATATGCACTGCGACCACTGTACAGTGTGACGTCAATTTAGTATACTGTGAAGCCGTTCCTTTGTAGCCAGTTATACTGGTCACTATTTAAAACGGAACGCAATCCCGTATACTGTCAGCCGCATTTTTGACGCAGCATTCAAATGAGTGTATTAAAGTTTACTAGTTCATTAAAAAAAAACTGTTGTTGGAGTACTGTCAAATTAAAAATATTTTAATTAATATTAGTTGTAAATTAAATTTATAATAAAATAAAAGTAAGTAGTTTTTCGTTAAAAAGAATATGTTCTTCATTACTTAACTTATATTAATTTTGTGTATAAGTTAATGTTCAGACGTTATGAAGGGTGAAATTTAGGAGTTTTTTTTTTTTTAATAATTATTGATTACTATAAACGAAAAAAAATTAAAGGTAATGGAGTATGCAGCAATTGGAATAGTATTTGTTGGTGCAGTTCGAAATTTATTAAGATCTTCAAACGAAAATGATTCTAGCGATGATGAAGATCTCATCTATAGTTTTGAAAATCGTGCAGAACAAGGTTTCATTCCAAGAACCCAGAATTATGTCAAAAATACGGTTTGTCGAATTCACGTTCCTTTAATCTTATTCTAAAGATCTTCAAGAAGTTCAAAATTGATGTTCAATAGAAAAGCTTACTATTTTATTAATTTTACAGATCAGTGTGTGATCATTTCGATGTCAGAAAATCATCAGCTTGGAGAACTGTTTGGAAAGTAATTAAATCAATATATAATGATCTACCTGTCTACATAAAATGGCCTATTCGTGAAGGATAACATAGAATCATATATATATATATATATATATATATATAGAAAGTACGGATTTCCAAATTTATTGGAAGCGATCGATGGAACACACATTAGAAATGCTCAGCCCAAAGAGCACCATGCCAGCTATATTAACCGCAAAGGATTTCATTCTATTCAAACTCAGGTTTTTAAAACAATCAAATTTATATTGATGAGCTATATATTTACCTAACTCGTTGAAATAAACTTAATTTTATAATTTCAGCTAGTATGTGATCAAAAATTAAAAATAATTCATGCGTACTGTGGTCAAGCAGGCTCAGCCCATGACGCTCGTGTTTTCTGACACTGTCAAATTTACAAAATTATTGCACACCTCAATTTTTTCCTGACGATACCCATTTGTTAGGAGGCAAGGCTTACAATATTCAACCTTGTAGAAAGGTACCTTATTGAAATCATTAAAAGGAAGATTTCGTAGTTTGTTGAATAAACTGCCATTCAAAAGAATGGACTTAATACCATATATTACGTATTTGCTTGTTGTATTTTGCACAACATTTGCATTATGAGAGAATATTTGATCGACATCCCAAAAATTCAGAATCATGAAATTCCAGTAATAGATGTAGATATTGAAATGAATAATGACATGAAAGTTGCTGAATAGAAGAAAAAATAAAGGTTGAAAAATTTTATAAATAATAATGTATAAATTTTAAACTTTAGTCATACATGCATACTAATCAACTGAAAATTAAATTTTGCACATTAATGTAAAAAAGTAGATTTTTAAATCGACTTATATGTAAAAAAAAAAATTGTAAATTTTATTGCGAATTTGTGTTTTCCTTAAATATTTCGACAACCAAGTGTATTCTGCTAATTTTGGAAAAAAAAATCGATGAGAAAAAATATCATGCGTAACTTTCAGCTCGTATTGAACATTTGTAAAACAGTCTAATAAGGTTAATTTTTGCAATTCTTCCATTAATTGTTTTATTTAGATATCCAAACTAATTACCCTGTTTAAAAATATTATCTCACTATCATGAGATTTGAATTTTTTAACTTCCCGCTAAGAAAATCTAAGATTTTCAAAAATCGGGAAGTTATTAGTTTTACTCCGTTTTGCAAAAATCGAGTTTTGATTAGATCTCGACGTTTGAAGGTCACAGGAAGCTTCCCCGACTATCCCCGCGAGGGTGTCACTATGTCTGTATGTATGTATGTATGTGTGTGTATGTGTGTGCAAGTATATAAATCTCCTATAACTTTTGAACGGTTTAACCGATTCCATCGCGGTTGGCGCCATTCGAAAGGGCTTGTTGATACTTAGATTTTGAATACAACTTGGACCGATTCGGACCGACAGATATCGAAAATTGTAAAAAAAAAACTGCAAAAAAAATGTTTTTTAAAATGGTTTTTTCAGAGTAACTTTCAAACAGCTTTATCGATCAACTCAAAAAACTAATCAGCTCTTAACCTTGAAAAACCACGTCGATCGCCGCTAATCCGGTCAAAATCGGCTGATTCGTTCGAGAGATATCGTGCAGGAAAAAAAACCCAAAAAAGTGTTTTTTTCGGAATTACTCCGGAATTTCTAGTTTGATCAATTCAAACTTAAAGATTCTTCATGAGGCTTAAAAAACTGCGTTGAATGCCGCCAACCCCGTGGAAATCGGTTCATTTATTCAAAAGTTATTGCGGTTTGAAAACTCAAAAAATAGTGTTTTACCAAACTTCTATCTGACTTTTGAGCTCGAAGAGCTCAAAAGCATAGAAAAGTTATCTCTTTGAGCTCGGAGAGCTTAAAACAACATATAAATTGTATTTTTGAGCTCGAAGAGCTCAAAAACGTCATAAATGCAATTTTAAGTACCCAGGTATGGAATTAGTGGGAAATTGCAGGGATGGCCTTCAGGGTCAACCGTTTTCCTAATTTTTTTCAATAATTTCAATTTCTCAGTATATATCTATGGATACATCATTAGCATAAAGAAAATTTTTTGGGTCGGCGACAATGTGCCCGGTGTATGTGGGGTGCTTTAATCCTAGAAGTTGGTAACGAAATGAATTGCGGGGAAAACGTAAGAAATATACCGTGCTGCGGTCGTGTGACGCGATGTACTATTTAAATAAGAAAGAAGTAGTCTCAATAAAACAGAATAGACGAAATAATGTAAGATGTATCTTGTAGATGGCACTAAAATGCGCATTATTGAATTTAATATTATTACAAAGAATTTGTTAAATTTACTTAGACTTGAATTATTTTCTCATAACAAACATAAAAAAATATGCAATGTGTAATATGTCCTCCGTTTTGCGAGATTGTAGAGAAGTAAAATATATTATCTGAATTAAAGAAATGTTTTATGCATTCAATAATTTTAATAATAATACGGTTCAATTAGAAATGTAATTTATACATATTTACACATTTATTATCTAATAAATAAACTGTAATGGAAAATCTTAGATTCCTAAAACGCTTATTATTTTAAGTTAATTTTTTTTTTTAAGTTAATAAAAATATTTATTAATAGTTATTAAATTCTTTTTGATTATATAACAATATTTTTAAAAATGTAATTTATTCTTTATGATAGTTTGTTAACCGTTTCCCATAAATATTAGTGTTATTTCGCACATAATACGTTAATTCAATTCATTTGCTTTTTGGTATACCTCAGCGTCATTCACGCTAGCGTGAATCACTCTAGCGTGCCTCACTCTAGCGTTCTACACGTCGCCATGAGTTATTACTTTGTTCTAAGGCTCCATGAAGTTTATTCCAACGACCTCAATACACGCTAGCGTCCTACACGCTAGCGTGCTTCACTCTAGCGTTCTACACGTCGGCATGAGTTATTACTTTGTTCTAAGGCTCAATTAAATTATTAAAATCGATAAATTTTCAAAACCCATTCATTAATATGGTAAAATAATGTTAAGTTATAAGAATCTCGGTACTATTATATTTATTTTTTTAGAATGTAATTAATTTTATTACTTACTTGTTGAATTTACATCAGCTTTTTATTTTTCTTTCTTCATCTTTTTCTTCGTAATTGAATTTTCTGTTTCATTTAAACAAATAAAAATAAAGTAAACATTTTATTAACTATTATTATTTTGTATATATCTTATAAAATGAGTAACATAAAATAATGGACAGTTAAATATCAGAATAATATAAAGTTTTTTTTTTTTATTTATTTAGAAGTAATATGTGTATTAATATTATAAAAATACATTGCAAATATACCAGTCATAAATAATTAGTAAGTAAAATGTTAATGAAATAATTAGAACAAAAAAATAAAGATGAAGGGAAATTTTAATTGAAAGTTTTTAAAAAATTTTAGATTAATAATTATTAACTATTCACATTTTGTGCAAAACCAGATCGCGTTTTTTAGAGGCATTTTCTTTAAATCTGTGCAGCTCTGGTCAATCCACTCCCAGCAAGCGTCGCACTGGATTGATTTAGATTCTAAATTTTCTTTGCACAGTTTGCACTTGAACAAGTTATCATTAATTTTAATTTTAATCAATTTTTTAATTTTTTTTAAGGTGTCAATTTCACAATGATTTTCTATCAATGTGAAGTCGATTCGATCGTCAGCTAAACTATCGTGTAATTCTGCCGGTTTTATCTTTATGTCTTCAGGAACAAGTTTTCTTTTGTTGGCCAATATTTCGTTCATTACACGGAAAAAAAAATATTCTTACTGGAGCCATCTATTAGATACCTACTCGTAGAAAGTTACTGTAGCATTATGCATTCCTGCAGCAGCAATACGGTATGGCTACTGGAGCGATCTGTTAGATAGCTAGAATCGCCAACTACATTTCTCTTACAACGCCCTCTTACCGGACAAAACATATTTATCCGGACCACATAAAAGTGACACACGTGTTTTTTTGTGCCAATGATCAATTTAAAAAAAATGACTTAAATATTTGTTTTAATTAAATATGGATTCGTGGGTAGGAAAAATTTTACAAGAATGGAATCTTACTGATTAAAAAAATCAATTTATTGATAAGTATTCATTTGTCATAAAATATGAACAACCAACCTCAAACCTCATCATTATAAAATCAAAACATTTCATTCTTCTAATCTTTTGTTAATTTTTATTTAAAAATTATATGGATAAATAAAAAAAAAATAAGTAATTAAGAATTAAAAAATAGATTACATATATTAAATTATCAAGTTTTTGAATGACACTGAAGTTGAAAGACATTAGAAATTTTTAGCAATAAAATTATTACGTAAAAAATTTAATAAAAAAATTCCACATGTGAGAATTAAAAAAAAATTCTTAGTGAAAATTTTTAGAAGCATTTTTTACTATCATTGATTTGTTATAAAATTAAAAAAAAAATTGACAGTTGTCAACTAACTTTAGTATCACATTTTTGATAATATTTATTTATTTTTCATGTACCATTTTAAAAAAAAAAATTATACAAATTAAATGTTTCTACACACATTCATGTATAAAAATAAATTGTAGAACAAAAGATAACTCAAGAAGCATTTTTATGCCTCGACGACGAAACTATTAAAGACTTATTTGACAAAGCGGGACCTCGAGCGATTTTTAAAAAAAGATGGTCAGATTTTATACAGCATTATGAAAATTCGGAAAAATTTGAAGTGGGCAAAATTTATTATTTTATTTTATTTTATGATTAAGTTGAATAAACTATAATTAATTTAAATTCCTACAGAATCTCACACTTGCAAATGATAGTAGTCATAATACCGTTGTTGACCAGGTTCCATCAGGTAACTTTAAATTATTTGAAAAAAAATTTTTTTTTGTTATCATTTTATTTAATTGAATTGTGAATTTATGTCTATCATTTTATTTGTTTAAATTTGTAGCCGGCGATGTATTGATTGAAGAAGTAGAAGCTGATATCTTAGATCCTTTCGAAACAATAGACAACACTGATATTTCCCTAGAACTATGCAATCCTATCAGTGATTTGACACAATCTCTAAGACAATCCATTACAGGCGTTTGTGTGTTAACTTATTTTCAAAAAAATCACATGCTTACTGATTACTATCGAAATTTATTTAATTGTATCCATTCTATAGTCTTGTACTTAAATCTTATTAGCATTCGAGTAACTATGTTTATCTTTATATTCAATTGTTAATCTAAAATATAGAATTTTTGAAAATGTGAATAGGAATTTAGTCAACAAGATTTATTTATAATTCTTTTAAGAGTTATTTTAATTATTAGTTCTTTTTCTGAGATTAATTTTTGAATGAACAAGCAAACAACGGGGTTTTGTTCAATGTAGTCGCATACATTTGCTGTAAAATTATATTGTTTAAGTCAATTAATATATACCCGATTAGACAAAAGAATTTGATACAATTGAAAATTTACAATAAATTAGAATCCTTATAAATCTTGAAAATAATATTGAAAAGGATTTGGAACGATAGAAAATTTTCAATATTTTTAAATTCTCTTTAATCATATTTTTATAATTCATAAGTATTAAGAAGGATTAAAAATTTTTAACACTTTTATCTGAATCATTTTATGTTAAAACGAAATTTCGTCAAAACTTCTATTTTATCATGAATCAATGATATGCAAATGAAAAATAATTTTTTTTAAGTTACTAGATATTACTATTTTCTCAATTTTCCTAGTTTATTTTTTAAACATCTCAAAAATTTTCATCGATATAGATATGGTCTTTTCTTTGTTTGAAAGGGAACGCTTCAGGCTATGAAAAAACAATTTAGAAAATGAAAAATTTTCAGAATTTTGAATATTTAAAAATGATTAAAATTCAATGTCGACTTAAACTTTTAGCCTTAAATAATAACTTAAAATAATTTTCCTAAATCCTTAAACTAAGAAAGAGAGTGCTAAAAAATTACGAATCTTTTTTTTTCGTGGTATTGCTTACAATTGTGTGAGAACTAAAAGTCTACAAAATTTGCCACCGGGAGATCCAAAAACTGGAAACTGGTTATGCAATTAGTTTTCACAATGAAAATTTTAATTAACTGCAAAATTCGTTGCACTTTAAGCGATGCACTTATGAGACCTGCAATTACATTAACTGAAACTTTCAATGCTCATTTCAAATATTTTTTCTTCGTGTCAATTGCTATTCATTTCTGTAAGAAAGCAACGGCCATGTTATAATGATTGCACATTGAAAGTTACAAATAATATTATCTACAATAATCACATGGACAAAAGTTACAGGCCAATTCGATGGAATTGGGAATCTGTACAAGTCAAAACAATACTCCAATTAAATTTCAAGTCTAGATCTAAAAATGCAATTCTATAAAGCGCCCAGCGGAGCGGGCAAGTAACAGCTAGTCAATACATTAATTTCATCGTTATCACAATTAAATTTTTTTATGACAATTAAAAATTTATTAAAGCAAATATATATACATAACCTGATCTTTTGGATCATTATCAACATAAACAATTTTTTCACGTTTTTTTTGAAGAAATCGACGAGAAATATATTTCAAGGCGTTTAACATCTCGTCATCGTTATTAGGGTCTACAACTAACCTTTCATATTGCTCTCCAGGGATAAAAGTTAGTTCGAATTTCTTATCCAATCTTTCTTTTATCAATTCTAAATTTTCTCTTTGTAATTGTGTTTCTCGTTCTTGTAATTTCTTGATGTTTTTTATATTGTTTATGTATTTTAATCCATCAAATTTGTTTTCATTTATTTTCAAATCATTTTTTATGGCAAGCCATATTTCTTTAAACTCTTTCTCATCCTCAATTGTTTTACTTTTCTTTTCCCTACCTTTATAAGTTTTTAAATTAACTTGATCCCATTTCGTCCGCGACTCTAACAAGTTCATTTTTCATATTTCCTATACCAAAAACCATTTTTTAATTACATTTTACCCTTTCTATGAAAAATATTATATTAACTAAGCTTCGATGCATACAAATTTTTGGAGTACTATAGAACGTTTATATTATTTAATTTGATTGATCACTTACTTATAAATATGTTCGGGTATGGATTCTTTTTTAAATCATTGTTGCGATCACGCTGACGGGATTCAGACCAGTTATCTGTACGATCACCATCCATGTCGTATACCGTGAAGCCTTCAGGTTTAACTTTTTTAATCCATTGTCGCTCGTAATAATCAAAAAACTCATCAAAAAGCTCTCCAAATTCATCACGACAATAAGCTTTGATTCTTTCATAGGTCTCTTCAATAAATTCGGCTGGTAAAATTGCTAAATATTTAATTTGGCTCAAAACAATATATATTTCCGGATGAGTGTATTTATTTGTTTTTTTTCCAACGAGGCCTAATCTTTTAGCATTTTTTTGGATTGCCTAAAACAAAAAGACAATAATTATTTTAATGACAAAAAAAATTAAGTATCAATGTACATTGATAAAAAATCGTGAAAATAATAATAGCTTTTACTTGCGCATAGTGGAAATAGCAATGTTTAATTACAACCCCGGGAAAGGTTGATTTTGCAGCGTTTTCTATTGCTGTCTCAAAGTCACTCATGCACTTTGTTATTTTTAAATTAGGAAATTCTCTTTTGACCAATTGAAAAATATTTGCATAACATTCTTCGTTCTTGTTGCTCATTAGAGCCCACAGAAGAGGAACAGACTGTTCAAAAATAAATAAATAAAATATATCTTTATAAGTAAATTGATTATTCGAGCATGAGAAAATATTCATAATCATAAGCTGTATTAATTTTCACTAGACACATATTCAAACTGTATTTTAATTTAAAATTTTTATCATTTTAAGCCATTTTCAGTATTTTTCAACTTTTGATGTAAATTTTTTAACTTCCCACTAACAAAATCGAAGATTTTCAAAAATCGGGAAGTTATTGCTTTTACCTCGTTTTATGAAAATTGAGTTTTCATCGAATCTCGACGTTTTGAGGTCCTAGGAAGAAGCTTCCCTGACTATTCCCGCGATGGTGTCTGTATGTCTGTATGTCTGTGTGTGTTTTTTTTTTTTTTTTGGCTTTTTTTTTTTTGTTATGTATTCACAAAACGTTACAATATTCCAAAGTATACATATACAAGAATCGAAAAAAAATTCACCCATACGTACAATGCATTTTCACAAATTAATCTTCTTTTATTTATACAAATATTATTTACTCAGCATTCTAGTAGTTTTTTTATTTTTTTTTTTTTTATTTTTATTTCATTAAACATGTTTAATTATTTTTTTTTTTTTACTTTTTCAACTTAATCAGTAACTAAATTAATTTTAATATTTACATCGTGACATTTGTCAGCTATCAACGCCTTATAAATAACTTTGCTTAATATTATGCTATTACTTTAATTTAACTTTCTTTATTACTATTATTTTTATTATTATTTTTATCAGTATAAATATCATCTTCATTATTTTTATTTTATGTTATCAGGAAACACTGCATTTTTATTATTAAAAAACTACGCAGAAAAGTTATTGCTTTAATTAGTCAGTTTTAAAAAAAAAAAAAAAAAAAAAAAAAAAAA